AATATATGGAGCCAAAACTGTAAATTAGGTATTTGGGAAGTAAAGACTGGAAGCTTACATTAAATTCAGAAAAACTTTTATACTCTTTCTGTACATACATTTTTAAAACTATGAATCAGAATAGCCACATCTGGAACATTTTCTGTTATTAATGTGGTGCATGGCTATAGGGGTAAGCCTCGGACTGACCTGTAGGCAAAGACACAAACAAGTCCCAGCTTAGAGGGCACAGTCCTTTTAGTATAATTAGGCTTGACCTTATGACACTCTATAGATCTTATCTGGGTAACTAATGGGCTGTGGGAGGTGCAGCAAGTGCTGCCAAAACAACTGAAACTCACAAGAACATTGCAACTATGGTGACCACTACCTTGTTTACCTCTGGCTATAAAATAAAGGCTCAGCTTGCCTCTGGATCTCTCTCTGTGGCCTCAGCCAGGCACAGGAAGATCCACCTAGACCCAGCTTATTCTCTTTGTCTATCATTTCTTCATCCATTCACTTGTGAACCCTTGGCTGAGCTGGCTCAGCACATGTGGCGCCCAACGCGGGGCCTGAGTTTGGGGGAACTACAGTTGTCAGGTGAAAGGATGCTCCAGTGAAGCACGTGAAGAAAACAAGAAGGAAGATAAGGAGCAAAGTTCAGTGATATAACTAGATGTAAAACATGGGAAATTCAGGATCATATATACGTATCCATGCTTAAGGCTATGCTCCAAGCACGGGCTGTTCTGTGAGGTATCACCAGCTTTTTGATTTGTTGGATTTTGTAAGTAAAACCTGCCCATGGTTTCCTGAGGGAGGAAAGGTAAATGTAGAGACATGGGAGAAGGTAGGAAAACAACTTAGAGATTGTTATATAGTTGAAGGTCCAGGGAAAATTCCTCTTCTACTTTCAGTATTGCTGCAAAGGTTTGTCTCTCACCTGGAGATATTCGTGTTTGTGCTGACATTGGACCAGCCTATGTTCAAGGAGCAGTATTAGCTGCCTCATTAAAGGAGATGTTACTCGCTGGTCAGTAGAAAAAGAAAGGGGACTGCTTTAACTGTGGCAACCAATGCCCCCTAGGCAGGGAAACTTCAAGCAGGGCTGGCCCCACCAAACAGTAGGGTCCTTATCCTTGACCCTGCTGCAGCCTTTCCAGCCAGCTCAGTAAACCTTTATCACGCCACCCCTCAGTAAATCTTTATCATGCCACCCCGGGAAGTGCAGGATTGGCGAGTTCTCCCTGGGGTGACAGATCAGGACTCAGGCAATACTGGAAAGTGCCACTATTAAAATGATGCAGAGAGTTGTACAGTGGCCATAAGGCATTGGACTTCCAGTACAATAGCCTCTGCTGGGTTAGCCCAGTGGAGGGATGCACAAACCAGATAAGGGTTTTACCAGATTTAGTTATGATGTGGGGAAGAGGTTGTGTTTTGTATCTTTCCAGAAGGAGCAGCGCAGCCAATTTGGGTGCCAGAGCAATACGTGCATCAATCACCATAATGGACCCAGAGAAGCTCCTTGTCCCTTTGCTCAAAAGGCTGAGAGTTGCCCAGATGACAGCAATACAGAAAAGGAAGATGATGAAGGCTACACAAGGGACTGAGGTGCCAACATGGGGTCAGCTGAAGAAGTTAACAACTGAGGTCCAGCAGATGGTAGAAAAACAAGATGTGGAAGCTACTCCCTCAATCATGTTTCTGGATATGCTAGCATTGGTTAGCTGCCAGTCTTCTGCAAGGTCTTGTGCAGCCAAGTCCGAGGACTCTGAGTAAATCAGTAAAAGAAACTTCAATTTAGCAGAAACTCACTTATTGCTATTTTGCATTGGCATTGTTTTGTCATTCTTACTAGTTTTAAAATGTTAACACATTGGCATTGTTTTGTTAATAGCCACAGCTTTATGTTTAAGTTTTAAAATGTTAACATGTCTGTAGTTTGGGTTTTGCATTGGCATTGTTTTGTTATTGTTTTAATAGCCAGAGTTTTGTTCTTGATGCTTAAAAATAAAAAAAGGGTGAGATATAGGATGCAGCTATAGGGTTAAGCCATAGATTGACCTGTTGGCAAAGCCACAAACAAGTCCCAGCTTAGAGGTCACAGTCCTCTTAGTATAATTAGGCTTGACCTTATAACACTCTCTAGATCTTATCTGGGTAGCTAATGGGCTGTGGGAGGTGCAGCAAGTGCTGCCAAAACAAGTGAAACTCACAAGAACATTGTAACTATGGTAACCACTACCTTGTTTACCTCTGGCTATAAAATAAAGGCTCAGCTTGCCTCTGGATCTCTCTCTGTGGCCTCAGCCTGGCACAGGAAGATCCACCTAGACCAGGGGTGGACAAACTTTTTGACTTGAGGGCCACAATGGGTTCTTAAACTGGACCGGAGGGCCAGAACAAAAGCATGGATGGAGTGTTTGTGTGAACTAATATAAATTCAAAGTAAACATCATTACATAAAAGGGTACGGTTGTTTTTTTTTTTTAGTTTTATTCATTTCAAACAGGCCGGATCCGGCCCGCGGGCCGTAGTTTGCCCATGGCTGGGTCCAGCTTATTCTCTTTGTCTGTCATTTCTTCATCCATTCGCTGCCCTCACTCAGGCTTGTGAACCCTTGGCTGAGCTGGCTCTGCACAATTGGTCAATATTTTTATATAGTTAGAACCTAATCCAAAGCCCTATGTGGGCTTAATTCTGGAAAATAAGTCTTTTCTTAACTGTCTTGATGCTCAGAACCTTTCTAAAAATAGACACTTCCTAAAGTCTTTTGTTTGCATGATTATACACTGATGCTTAGATGTTCCAGTATCTAATATGGCCACAATAGTCTTGATAACCAAAGTCATTTTTTCCCCATCTTTAGAAACCCACCTAGGAACAACATAACTCAGCAGATTTCAAGCTGCTGTATGTCTGAATGAACATTCCCTTTTGTTTCATACCTGAATGCTGTACAGCTATTTTGGATTGTCTATTGTGTTTGCATATTGATGCTTTGATTCAAGTGACTTCTCATCTTATGGAATTGATTTGCATTGAACACAAACTGTAAATAAAAAGAAATGGCTGAGCCTGGCCAGCGTGGCTCAATGGTTGAGCATTGACCTATGAACCAGGAGGTCATGGTTTGATTCCCGTTCAGGGCACATGCCCAGGTTTCAGGTGCAATCCCCAGTGTGGGTTGTGCAGGAGGCAGCCGATCAATGATTCTCTCATCATTGATGTTTCTATCTCTCCCTCTCCCTCCCTCTCTGAAATCAATGAAAATATATTTAAAAAAATAAAAAGAAATGGCTGAAAAAGAAAAAAAAAAGTGGCATAAATGAAATCCAAATCTTTCATACATAGAATGTGGAGATGAATTTCAACTATTTCCATTGCATTGGGATTAGAAAGACAATGGCCAATAATTAAGAATTTAAACACCTGCCCCATTCCAGTCCATGCTAAGGGTTTACTTAAATTAAACCTGTTTAATTTCCTTCTGTTAAAGATAGCTTTTAAAAACATTTTTGAGTCTTCATATTCTCCAATGTGATGTTACACAATTGACCAAATGACCAAATCTCTCCTTAATATTTGCATATCAATGGCCTACTTTTTCTATTTTCATATTAAAGGTTTTTTTGAATTTTGCATTAGCATTTATTCATTTTCTTTATTTTTAATGTATTGATTGATTTTTAGAGATAGGAAGAGGGAGAGAGAGAGAGAAAGATATTTGTTGTTCCATCAATTTATGCATTCATTGGTTGATTCTTGTATGTGCCCTAACCTGGGGTGGAACCTGCAACCTTGGCCTTATGAGGACAACAGCTCTAACTGAGGTACCCGGGCAGGTCTATTTATTCATTTTTAAAGAATTCAAAGACAATCAGAGCTATTTGATTTTGTGCCATTCACCAACGTTTAGAAACAATAAAAAACACTCTAGTTTGGCCGTTGCTTAATGTTGCAAAAGTTAGGCATGAAAATAATTGCATTATGCATTGTATTAAATGAATATATTCTGCGGGGTTTTAAAGTTTTAGGCTCCGATTTCCAAATTATGATTTAAAAATACATCATGCCCTACATACTATGTTAAAGAGATCGTGGATGCAAAACCGACATACAGCTTTTGAAAGGGTTAGAGAAGGCCTGATACTTTTTTATTAAAACAAAAAGTTTAAAATCTGCTTATACTCAACCTCACAAGGAGGGATGGGATAATGTCTCTGGTTTTCCACATTTTGCTCGGAGATTCGTGGGCTGTTTTATGATTATTAGTAAGCCTGCTCTTAGGTGCACCTTCACCTGCACTACAGCTCAGAACAGGGCGAGGCGGGTGCAGGAGAGGAGACCCCAAAATGCACGATGCTCCCGAACACCCTAGGGTTAATGTAGTCCGCATTAGCTCAAGCCTGGGTTTGGAGGAACAACTTAATCCAGAATGTGGAACTGGAGGGTAATGCCTGGCAAAAGCTCTTGGGGTGTGTGTGGGGGGGGAGGGAGGGGGGAGTATCGCTGTTTTAAGGAATATGTTGCAACTCCTGAAGGAGTGGTTTTGTTCCAGCTGCTTTAAGGAGATGGTCTTTCCTTGCTCATAGAACTTGCTCGAGTTCCTAGGGAAGCGCCTGCCTATTGAGCGTGTGGCCAGGGGTGGGTGGTGGCCCAGAGTCCAAGGCGATGGTCCAGGATAGGAGAGCGAGTTCCCGGGAAGGAACTTGACGCGCAACCTGGGGTCCCAGTTAGGGTGCAGGGGCTGCGCCTGGCTTTTCTTTTCTTTCTTTCTTTTTTTTTTTTTTTTTTTTTTTTTTTGGCGGGAGAGCAGATGGTGGGAGGAAAATAAGGAAAAACTGCCCAGGGCTTTCCCGGGCTCGCAGTGTGTGCTCGCGCGGGCTCACAGCCGGGTCCCCAGCACTGGCCCCGCACGCGGCCGCGGTCAAAGGGCGTGCTCGCGGCAACCGCAGGGCACGCGGACCAGCGGGGGCGGGGCGCCAGTGGCGGTTGCGGGGCATGCGCGGCTCCGCGCGCGGCTTCTCAAACATGGCGGCAGCGGTGTGAAGATCTGTGGCTGCTCTCGGGGAATCGGTGACCAGTGTGATCGGAGTTTTGCTCCCTTTGCCTAAGAGACCCTAGGTATGTGGCTGTCCCCGGCCCCTTGAGGACCAGACAGGCGGAACCTCGGAGTCCGGTATCTGGCCGAGTCCGCGAGCGGGCGGGTGGCCGGGAGCCCTTCGCGGCGGGTCCCGCGCGCGGAACGCCCCCTCAAACGCCCCGCGGGGTCGGGCCTTAGCCGGGCCCTGCACCCCTGTCGCCCACTCTCGGCGGCCTCACCAGCCCCCCCATCCCGAGATTAGGGGTTCCCCTGCCCCACGTAGTGCCCTCAGCCTCAGTCGTGGCACCCCTCACACTCCCCCGGGGTCCGGTAGCCTGGCCGCTCCCCTCCGGCTGCCCCGGGTCCCAAGCGCGGACGGCACCTTCCCGAGCATCCTCTTGGGGTGCGTGGGGCCGGGTCGGGCCCCGGGAGCGCGGATGGGCAGCGGGGCTGACTTTGTGTGCTCGGGGCCGAAACTTGCCTGGTTGCCCTCTGGACTTGTGAGGTAACTTTTGGAGTTTGCGAGTGAAATGCCAGCTCGGAAGGATGCGCCAGTGGCGGAGCGCGGGTTTCGGTACTGATGCTAGGTGCCCGTCCGACTCGCGTAGGGGGCTCGTGGCGGCTGGTGTGTGGGGAAGGGAGGGGGTAGGGGGAGCGGAGGAGCTGGCGGGAGCGGAGGAGCTGGCGGGAGCGGAGGAGCTGGCGGGAGCGGAGGAGCTGGCGGGAGCGGAGGAGCTGGCGGGAGCGGAGGAGCAGGGGGGAGCGCCAGTGGCTTGTCTAGGGGGCTTGGAGCAGCCAGCTCTCAGATTACAGGGTAGGTAGCCGGGGTGGGTAGCGGCGTGCGCGGCTCCTGCTCTCCCAGCGTGACGGGTTAGGGACCTTCGCTACCTTGGTTTTGAGACAGCGTTTCTCCACCTCGTTAGTGCTGCATCCTAGAGTGACTCGCCAGAGGTAGAATGGTAGGTGAATTTATTAGGTTTTGCGCTTTGAGGTTCTTCGTTGCTTTGAGGGCTGAACTGTAATTGGGATCCTCCTTCCCCAGAATGTTTTGACAGCACAGGTATTTAGGTACAAGTTCCCATTTAAGGCTATTGATTTTTTTTTTTTTTAAAGAAAGGTTGTAAAACATTTGTCATTCATAGTAACGTGCGATTACAAGTGGAAATTGGCCTCTACTTTGAAGAAATAGATTAGCATTTATGACTTAACTGTAGGGTGACTTCGGGACATTTCTAGAAAGTGTATTGATAGGTTAGTAGAGGAAACTAAGGCAGAGAAAGTGAGTACTTCATTATGATCGCAGGATTTACAAAATTAAAGTTTTCTTTCCCCAAACCACTGCAGATACTCCTGCATTTTTAATGATCCCAGAACTATTTATAAATATTTCTGTTTTGAGGACAGAATATTATAAGATGCATAACATTTATGGAGTACAGCTTCCTATGACGAGCAAGTGTATAACAATAGTTCATAGACATATTTCATCAGTGCTTGGGGATGTTCTTCAATAAAGATAATTTTGCCTTCCTTGTTATTCTTTTCTTAATTACTCATTAAATGTATTTCCAAGGGTGATTGTTCTTTTATTCTGTTTGTGGTTTTGTATATTTAAGTGGGAGGGATGTGCAAAATAAGCTTTTGGAAGTTAGTCCAATTGGGATTTCAAGAAAGGAGTGAGTATATGAGCACTGACCCCAAGTTTTGTATTTGTTTGGCTGTAACTTTATCCATAATCTTCAAAATAGTATGATGGAATTAAAAAAAAACATAGTCAAACACCATTAAAATGACTGGAATTTTTGAGTATATTTCATATTTATCTCACAACCATATAAGCTTCTTAAAGGTATATACCTGTTTCCTAAGAGAATCTGATTTGTTTTGAAATCGATAGTTTGGAAAAAAAGATTAATGTAACTGAATACATTATAGGTGAGGATGCTTTAAAGCTAAGGGTGTCATAATATGTACAAAAAACCTTGGAGCCAGTCTTAAAGTGATATGAATTTTTCTCATGAGGTAGTTGGTCAGTCGTTTTGGTTTGCACGTCAATAAGCACATCTTTATTAAGTGCCTGTGCTGTCTGTATGGAGTTCAGTTCAATGTGCATTTACTAGTATTCAGAGGCTGCTATGTGTGCTGGTTTCTGGGTGTTTAAGGCTTCCCATCAGTATTTTATTCCTGAAAAGGTCAAGGTTATAGCTAAGAAAATTAATATGAATGTCTTTTTATTTCAAGGCAAATTCAGGGATTTTGGTTATAATTCTCTAAATGAAATTCTGGGTGTAGCAGAATTTTCTGACTTATATGATGTTAACTTTATGACTCTTTTGTTCTGATTCTATAGAAGTATACATTTTTATGAGAGATTGTTTTCTGAGTCAGATAACATTTAGGGGGAAAAAGGAATGACTGGTATACATTGAAATCAGAATGTGCTTTGGACATTGGGTATTTTTAATGCTAAAAAAACCCAAACAACTCTTTACTTCTATGACCAAGTAGTTTAGGCTGTTAACTAGATATTAACTGGCTGATCATTTAGAGCATTTTTTTCTAAGATGTTTCAGAAATCTCTCTGAGCTCAAAAATAACAAATAAGGGTTATGATGGTCAGCTATAAGCCAGATGTGGCTCTCATTTTCTTTTGGGTTTGTTCCTTTTTAGCTGCCTGCCTGTTCCTCCCAGATGCTTCCTATCACCCCTCTTCCTGCCCCTGTTCCCTTTGCTGTTGAAGTCTGTTTCCGCATCATTGAAATGGTCAGGGTAATCCTGCGCTGCCTCACTGAGAAATAATTGATGATATAGTAAAGTGCCTTGAAAACGCTGAGTAAATACCAAGTCTTTTGAATGAAAATGACGTAGTCCCTTGTTCCATTTAAGGAAGATCCAAGTCACAATTTTAGTTTGAACTCTTGTAGGGTAAAAGAGAGTAGAAGGAGGAGGAAAATTTCACTAGAATGTTTTATTGCCCCTCTCCTTGGGTTAATAGAAATCACTTGTAACTTTAGTAACTGGAACACTGGCAGATGCAAGGGATCTATCTGCTTTGCTTTTTTTTTTTTTTTTTTTTTTTTTTGCCAGGTAACAGGGTCTGTAACTTCTTTCCTCTCTATTTTCATTCCAGTTGTGAATGGAAATCTGGGGCCATCTCCTCTATTTGCTCCTCTCCCTGGGACTCTCATTGTTTCCTCATAGTCATTTCTAGTTTTTAGGATTTATAAGATATGAACAAAGTGAGCTCTGCCACAGCCATCTATGTTAGAGCCATGAGGCTATGGTGCAAATATTGGTCTGGCATTGCCAGGTGTTTTGTAGTTTGGAATGAGCAAATCAAGCACCCTTAAGAATTTTAGGAACATTTTTAATGTCTGAAAATTACTACACAATACCTTAGAATTTGAAGTGATTGTTGATTTCAGGAACCAAAAAAGTGGAAATTTTGAAGATAGCAAATGTTGGTGATTTAGAAAGAAAAGTTTATTCTTCCTTGGCTTGGAGTCTTACTATTTATGATCCTTTTACCTTGGGGAAATAGATGAAAGAAACCACTGCTGTTTATCTTAGATTAAAATGGGTTGGCATAATTTAGTGGTTGAGTTTTCCAGGCTCTAACTTTGGTTATTCTAAGCATAGAAATGGCTTTATTGTAGTGATAACATCTCATTTTTAAAAAGATAGTAGAGATGGTGATTCTGAAAGCTGGGTAAGTTGAGAATATTTCAGAAACTAGGATTTGAAATGTGCGTATGTTCTTTGGTTTTCATGAGTAAGGCATTTTTGCTTATTTTGTGTTTATGTTGTCTAATATAACTAAACCTTACCCACCTTAGAAATAATAATACTAGTGTTTTTTGTGATAAGTGATTTCTACTAAACATGTATCCCTAAGTCTTCTTCTTACTTTCATTTTTTGGGCATGTGATGGAAATGTTTTAATGTAAGAAACAGGGATATTTTACTGGGTTTAAAGCAAAAGATTTGAGGTTCCTATTAGCAGTTTATATGATGGTGCTGTTAACTTAATTTCATACTCATCTGACCTAGGCTAGATGAATTCCTTATTTAACCAGGGAGTTAAAAGAAAAAAAGAATAAGCTTAGTACGAGTAAAGAGCTGGGAAACACTTGAAAATGGAGAGCATTTGATTACCTACTACTTGTGATGTGCGTTTATGGCTGTGGCTCTGCCCCTTCCTAAGTTTATAGGAGCAAATTGTTGTAATAGCGGAAAGAGCATGCCCACCTTTTGTGGTAACATGCCATTGTAAACTTCAGAAGGGACAGATATATTGCAATTCTAGGGCATACCTTGAAGATGCTTTCTTTTCTCAAGGAAAGGCTGATGAAGCTCTCTTTGCTTCTTGTCTTTAGAATACGTATTTGATTTATCTTAACCTCTGTTTTTCCAGACACAAACAGCTTCATTTGCTTAGTCTCTTAAGCACATGTATTGACAAGGTTATTTAAAAACAAAACAAAACATGTGGTCACTTTTCCCACCTTCCATCATTTTTAGCTGGTTTAAGATTTTGATTATATATTTAGTTTTAAAGTAAGCCGTGAGTGAAACAGCTGTTTCTTCTCCAGTTCTCTGGCCTCTGAATACAGTTGTAAACATGTGCCCTTTGCTGTGAAATTGGTCCTTTTATTCTTTTGATAGATTTAAAGTATTATTTGGAGTATGTTTCAATACACTTTCAAGTTATTTGAAATGTAATGATCAGTATTATCTTTATTTTTTATTAACTTGGTAGAGTTTAAGAAATCTGTTCAAATAAACACATTGTCTTTGATGGTTATTAAAAGAAAATATAGTACTCAATAAGCACATTTATATATTGCTTGGTTTAGACTAGAAACCCTGATCTGAGATTTTTTGAGGTTGTAGAAATATTTAAGTGGGTAATTTACTGACACACCTGCCTCATGTTTGAAGCATTGTCAGGGATGTTTAGTTTTCTGGTCACTTCAGATTGTGTTTTATTGCATGCTTTTCTGCAGTCTGTTGTCTAGCAGGAATTTTTGTTGTCATAATT